CAGTTGCTAACAACAGCCCTTAATCAAATACCTTGTAGATTATTTTTTTAGTAACACGGGTCTAGACCTGCACCAGTCTGCATTCATAATATTCAATCTCCTTTAGATAATTAAAAAATTTTTATACATACATAAACCAGCCGTCCAATTAACATAGTTTAATCCACAAGTGTAATAAATGGCTACAAAAATGGAATAAAAAACTGAAAAAATCCGCTCTCATGCATATGCAAGGACGCCTCGAAATAGAAAATATTCACTTATACCAACCCATACCAACAACATTAGCAATATATTACAGTCTATTTTCATGACATTCATAATCTCTAAACGATATCCCCCCAAAGAAGAAACTGGGGCCCGATGATTAATTCCAGAGAAACAATCTTAAACGTCCATAAATTAATTGGTATTTACTTAAAGCTTTACATACTGATATCGCGTAATAGCTTTTAATCACTTTTAATCAACCAACAAGTTATTAAATTACTATAAAATGGCAGTCCGGGGTCTCCAAGTGCACCGGTGTTTAATGTAAAATGCGAGCTCAAGAAATTTCCGAGTAAATTGCATATTCCAGTTCTACTGTTCGAGTGAGATACACCCACTGGCTCTTTTGCTGCTGCTGGGTTAAACGTTTCAATGAAAACGAAAGTATTTTCGCATATAACAGCACTAAAGGTTAAGTTATATCCGAAATGTTATAAAAAATTTCATGATCGAGAAAAAAAATCGATTTTTAATTTGGTAAGAAAAATTCACACAAAGTTGCATTTAGTTAAATTACTATTACCAGGAACTTTGAAATTATTGTTTTATTACATTTTTGTGAGTACTTATGTATTAGCCACTTTATGATTTTGTAAAAATTTAAATAATTTAAAAGCATTTGGAAAATATACCAAGTGAAGAAAGTGTTGACTGGCAATCACATTTTTCTTTGTGTTTGGCGATACCCTATGATCTGTAATGTTTGTGAAAAATTTGTGAAGAAGGTTTTTATTAATAAGTTTTTTGATAAGAGTAGTAAATTTGTTGCAAAATTCTTAACATAAAATAACTATTTTAAAAATTAACACAATAATTAAAATTGAAAAAATGAATTTGGCTTTAACCTGGTTTGGAAGCCCGGATCTTTAGCACGATACTATTAAACTACTTATTAAGGTGATTACAGCATCCCTTATAATTTTCAAACAAGGATATCTCAAAAAGTAATTTTTTTAAAAATATAAAATTTTGTCAATATAAATTTGGCAATAATATCTAGAATATGCAAATATTTTAAAGTTTTAACTTTTTCCCATTTCCCATAAAAAGGCATTTATTTTTTGAAATATAATAATGAAAATAAATGCATTTCTCAACAGCAGTATTCTTAATATAATCCCCAAATTTAAGCTCTTAATGTCTTGATAATGACTTTTTAAAATTCACCAAAAGCCCTTTGATTTTTTTTTTCGGAAATTGATAGGGCTTAAAACTTTAAAATATATACATATTCTAGATATTATTGCCTAATTTATTTTGCCAAAATTTTAAATTTTTAAAAAAATTTCTTTTTGAAATATCGTTGTCCGAAAATTATAATTGAATTGGTTTTAGGTAATTTTATTACAATTTACCAAAATTTATGGTCTCTTTATAACTATTAACGATGAATATTTAATGGATTGCCATTAGTTATTGATTCATTATAAGTTTAATTAATTTTTTTTTATATTTTATCCTAATAGTAAAAAACATAATGACATAATTCACTTATTTAAAATTTAAAAAAATATACATTTATTTAGTTATTTAGGCGCCTTTTGTAATGAGTTTTTTTTTATCTTTCACCTATCTATAAAATTATTTACAAAGTGTCAAGCCATTTATCAATGTTGCAATATTTTAATAACAGGTACTTTTGGAATAGGTACACATTTCATCTTCCGTATGAATAATACAGTTCATAATAAAGCAACATTTAATTTTTTTAATCTATTTATTTGCCTGAGTTATTAATGTCTGAGAAATAATAAACGTTCTTTTTTTGTGCATCGTCTTACTTTTAGACTTATCGTTAAAAAATGGAAAGGTTTTTAAAAGTATTATGTTTAAACTTTCACCATGTTTATAGTTTCATTGTTTTAAAAAACGATAACTACTTAATAAACAAGAAAATAGCAACGCGACAACACTGTATGTGTCATCTGTCAATTAAGAATTTGTGTGTTGCGTCAATCGATAATTATTTTATTTTGATGTTTTTATAAATATTATGAGTACGAAAAATGTTTCCTCCCAAGATGTGATAATGATTTACATTTGTTATTAAAAATATTTATTAGTGTTTCTAGAAATATGAAAAGAAGAAAATTATTAATATTATTACACAGAAACGCTTTAAGTAACAGATAAATTATTTTAAGGTTTGTACCTATACTCTTTATTAAAATGACAATGTTTTATTGTAATTTATTAGACTTCAATTATCTACCATTGTAGTAACGATGTTTTTTTTTTTTTTTTCTTTTTTTAGATACCAGATGAAGAAGTAGGTAGTATCACACAAATGTCTCCAAAGTTCTTGTTAATCACCATACAAGAGCCAGATCACTGATTCTACCAAAAAAAAAATAGAAAACATAAAAAAATGTCTTCTAAAAAGTTGACTGGAAAATAACCTTCTACTAGAGGCCTTTTTCATCTCTATTTAATAAAAATACACCGGATCTTCAAGATGCAGCAGCAATTTCTGACCTTTCAGGAAATTTAAAATGAGCATACTATAAGTTTGAAGGTGTATAACCTAAAAACCCTTCTTTGGAACCTTCTGAACGTTTTGAAGATAGTGAAATTTTGTCTGAATCAAAAGAAACTTCCTTAATATCTGATTCAGAGGGTCTTAATAATAATGAGCAGGATCTTCAAAACCAATGAACTGTCAAAATAATCGAAAATAAACTGAAGGTATATTTAGGATTGCCCAACAGTGTTTTTAAAATCCTCAATGATATTTATGAGAAGGAAAGTGCAGCTTACATAAACCTTTCTTTGTGAATTAGTAGTATTGTTAACTTAAAAGAACTCATTTTGTAAGACTAAATTCCTAATAATTTAATAAACTGTTTAATTGTATTTTTTTTATTTATTTATTTATTACATTTCAGAGAATATAATAATTGTATACAAACAAAAATGAGAAATCTGTTAAAATTTTATTTATTAGTTGCACAAATTAAACGTTCCTCTAAAGATTCATTATCAAATTCAACTTGTTATCTACCTTAGCATTATTTACTTCAAATGTGGGAGAAACAATGCAAAATAATTTATGTTCATGTGTAATTATTCCGTTTACTATGCAAATATTTCCTTTAAGTTATTCATGGAAAATCGCATTATCTCCATATATTTGCTTGGCAGATCCAAAAATAATAAAATATTTAATAAAGTGATGATTTTTTTAGTATTTTCAAGAGTACATTTTTATGGATTCCCATTTTTTTTTTTTTTTTTTTTAATTTTTATTACTTTACTGTGTTCCAAATTATTTCATAAAATATAAACATATTTGTGTTTATTATTTCAATTTGACAATATTATGGTAGATTTATTCATGTAAATACTAGACATGTGTATAATAATTTTAACAGAAAGAGTTTTTATATTTACAAAAAGTAATTATTTATACACAAAAATGTACATAAATTACAATTATTTACAGCAAGTAGGTAATCTTCGACCAAATAAAAATAGTATTACAGTAAATACTACCCTTCTAAATAGTTTTAGATGTTATTTAGTTTTAATTTTTGAGTTAGGCAAATTATATGAACTCGTTTACACAAATTGCTATTTATCAGGTAATACATAATTATACTTTTACTTCTAATTATAGAAATAATACCAACAGCACAGCTTTAAACGTCGCTCTCTTGCTCAAATTAGAGATTGGCCCTCGTTGCTTCAAGGTACAGATATATCGTTCCAATTTATACAGTTATATTTGTAGATATCAGTATGCGCTAATATTTTTTTCTCATACATATAAATGAAGTAAAGGGTAAAGGTAAAATGTTTATTTTTGAAAAACTTACTGTTCGACAACCCTAATGACCTGATATAAATATGTTTTTATTAAGGTGTATTGTCTTATATAAACTGTACCTACTATTAAAACAAATTATAAATAAAGTGTTACATACCTTTCTGTCTTAAGATGCTTAACTTTGGCACTTATAAACTGATTATTATTAAAAAAATGCATATCTTGGTCTACAAAGACTTGATTCAGCTTTTATAAATCAAGCTGACAAACTAATATTAATAATAAAATTAAACCAATTAGCAAAGAAAAAAGAAATAAATCGAGAATCGAGAAAAAAAGTAAACAAAACAACAACGAATGTTAGGTTAGGTGGTCTAGGTAGTGTCACTAAGATGTACGTTCACTTCGACATTCTATGTGTCGGTTTGTTCGTTGGCTTGATTCTGTATAACAAACAAAACTTCAACACAAGCTGATTGGTCTATTCCCGATGACGTACACATTTCAAATTATAAATGATTTTACTTTATTAACTTTAAAAACTGTTTGTATTTTTTTTACTAATTTTTAATTAAATCTATTTTCATGATAGTATTTATTCAATTTTGGTTATTTTTTGCTACTTTTTTGTTTTCTAGATATAAATTTATATTTTTAATTAATCAGGGAACGTGTTATTTTTTTTATTTTAGGGTTGAGTGAAAGAGCAACTTTTAACTTTTTAGAAGATAGAATTTAAACTGTGCCTTTTGGATAATTTACTGTATGAGAATATAATATGTTTTACTTTCTACTTGTATTTGACATATTGTAAAGATGCCAATAATATTATTTATTATTATTAAATGCAATTATTAAACTGTCAGCTATGAAATAGCTCTTGTATTTTTTTAATTTAATTCACATTTGCGGGTCATAAGAAAAATGTTTTGTGGTTAAAAGTGTCAAATTTTCAATTAATTATATCTTGTCATTATCACTTCTTGACATTGTTCTGACTAATAACTTTCGATTTATTTCGTCTGTTACTGTTACAGAATTCTGTTTTGAATAATTCAAGATCCCTTATACCTGCAACTGAACCCCTAAAAACAAGTATAAATCTATTTGACCCCCGCAGGGCGTTAAAAACCCCAACGAATTTCGCCGGAATACCATCATCGTGTCTGATGGAAGTTTGGAGCAGAACAGACGCAATGGGAAGCGCAGGTACAACACCCGCAAAATTGATTCCACTTTGTTTGTTTAACTTTTAATTAGAACGAACACAATTTCAATTTTACCTGAGGGTTTTTTTTACGCTAGATATTTATGAAAATGTATGTTTGTGCTGAAATCGGAAAATGTAGGGCGAAGTATTTGATATTTGAATTTAAAAATTCAAAACTTTTTTATACAGAATGTAGGTAACAAAATGGTAGGTCATAAATTACAGTAAAGGCAATTCTGTAGTCAAAAATAGACGTTTTACTAGTATTCAGTGTTAAAAAGTTGGCCTACACCACTAAACTTCATTATATACCATAAAAGGAAATCTATCTGCTTAAATCTTTAGTAATTCGTAAAAATATTGTATCGTCAGCTAATACCGTCAGTTGGCTGAAATATTAAGATATGTTAGATCATTTATTCAAATTATAAACTGGCCCTTAAAGGACACAACACTTAGCATCTGGTAAATATCTAGGAAGGTGTTGCCTTCCGGACAAGTAAGATTTCATCCAGTTCAGAGCAATATCTTTAATACCAAAATGATGAAGCTTCTGCAACAGCAGTCCGTGGTTCACGCAATCAAATCCCTTTGTTAGGTCACAGAAGGTTCCCAGATAGCACAGGACGTCCTAAGGACGTCCAATACATGTCCATTTAACGTCTGTACGTCCAGGACCAATTATGGACCTTTTAAGTATGTCCAGTTTAGTAAATCCTCGGGACGTCAAGAAATAGATTTCCTCAGAACGTCAATTCTACGTGCTTTACTATATTTCCATGGATTCATATTCGCATTATATTATTATAAATAATTATTAAAGATGGCATTGTCCCAATATCCAATTGAATGAAGGCCAAATAGACAAAAACGAAGATCATTTGCAAGTAAGTGACATTCAATGAGGTTGAATACTATGGAGATGACATGCCAAAAAAAACGACGCCCCTTTCCCCTCTTTTAGTGGTCATAGTTGTCAAAGAGCTGTCAGAACTTTGTTCAAATTTAAATATTTCGACGTTATTTCTATGTTAATAAGTGTTTCTTTTTTAAATTTGTATAAAAATCATGACTAAGTGTGCCAAAATTAATTGTAAAAACTCTTCAGTGAAAGAGCGTAAGAAAATATCTAATTTAAGTTTTCATAATTAAGTATAAGGAGTGTACTTAGAATTTTTTTTAGAATGCTTAACTTTTTTTTATTATAGGTTTCCAAAAGACCCACAATATCTCAAAATTTGGTCTAAATTTGTGGGAAAAGACCAATTTGAGCCTAAACCGAATAGCATGCTGTGCTCTATTCACTTCAAGGAAGAATTTTTTGATAAGAGTGAGTTTAGGGTCAGATTGAAGAAGAATGCTGTTCCGACAATAAATGAATGTTTAGTTAGTATACACTTTATTTACAATAAAACTTAAATAACTAACTTAATAAAGAACATTGGCTTGACTAACTTTATAATAAAGACAAATAACTATATTAAAACTTAGATAACTATAATAAAACTTAAATAACTAACTTTATAATTAAACTTAAAAACCAACTATAATTAAACTTAAAAACCAACTTATAATTAAACTTAAAAACCAACTTATAATTACACTTAAATGACTAACTTTTTAAGTAACACATAATTTAGAATAAAATTGCAAGTATTTAAAAGCAGTTTTTATTAGATCCTAATTTCCTATTATTATACCGTTTTGATAATGAATATACTGTATAATAATAAATACTGGTGATGTATTTTTATTATTTAATTAGATTTGTGGCCATCACTCACTGCTATGTACCTCCTCATCCTCATGATATAAAATAATATGCCCGCTAATGTACCACATTACAATTATTATTAATATTAAATGAACAAACATTAAATTGATGTTCCTTAATTTAAAAACCTGCCGACTTTGTTCACAATACACAATAAATATAATTTAAAACATATTACGAAGTTAATGATATATAAAAATTAGTAGTTTTGGAACTTAAACTAGTAGTTTTTGTATCATGGATCTATATTTAAGGCTTTATAACATACCAAATCTTGTTCCAGACTAACCCATCCATACCTACACATCCTCCTCCAAAAATCAGGATCCTATCAAATATTCTTATTAAACCAGCATATCAAACCAGTCAGATCGAATTACCTGTACCCTCTACTTCTTCTCTAAATATTCCATATGAAGAACCGCTGACGCCAAAGAAACAAAAAATATTACATACACTCTCCTCTGTCCGGGCAACAAGTGCAAAAAGAAAGCAAAAATTAAAATTGCTAAGACGACAACTTTCTCGAAAAGTGAATAAAATTGCCAACTTAAAAAATATATTAAATGATTTAAGTAAAAAACGTTTGATACAGGAAGATGAGTTAGATATAATGTCAAAACTTGGGGGCCCCATCGAGATATGTAGCAGGCAATTAAAAAAAAAAGTCTAACCTACCAATGCCTAAGAAGTATTCAGAAGAGCTAAAAGTGTTTTCCTTAACTCTCCACTATTACTCACCTGCTGCTTATAATTATGTAAGAAGAACATTTGACACTTGCTTACCACATGTCCGTACAATCAGTCGATGGTATCAAAGTATAAAAGGTGAGCCCTGGATTCACAAGTGAGGCTTTCAATGCCCTACAGATTAAATCAAATTCTTTCAATGAAAAAATAATTTGTGCACTTATTATGGATGAAATGGCCATTCGTCAACATGAGGAGTTTGTTGGAAGCGAACGTAGAAGTTATGGTTGTGTAGATGTAGTAACGGGTGCAAATAAAACTACGCTTGCAAACAATGCTCTTGTTTCCTTATTAAATTGTGTAAATGGAAGCTGGAAAATTCCAGTAGGATCTTTTTTAATTTGAAAATGTCCATGGAATGTCCTTAAATGGACGTTCTTAAGACATCCTGATTATTAACAATGGACGTTCCAAATACGTCCATAAGACGTCCACGTCCGTGAAATGGACGTTTTAAAGATGTCCTGAATGTCCAAGCAGGACGACGTTTTTAGAACGTCCATAAGACGTATTTGTGCTATCTAGGTTGCTGTAGCAGCTTCGGAATTTCCGAATTCTGCCACAAACTTCAGGTTAAGAAAAATTGATATCCGAACTCTCCCACGGATTACAGTTTTAGAGATTAGGTTCCTAAATCATTAGAGGGTTTCTCTGATCCGATTAAGATATTATTAATGTAGGTATCCAAGATATTGCTGATATTGTTTACTATTTGTGGTACTTAACATAGCTACATACATGAATAAAAATATGAAATAATATAAAAAACAACTTGATATGAAAATATTCGAATTTATTAAAAAAAAACAGTATAAAATTAGTATAAAAAACCAGAAGAATACAAAATTGCAATACACAGTTAATTGAAAATTACAAATATAGTAAAAGTTTTACAGGTAAAATGAAATTAGACATTGGGAAGATTTTTAAATGACATTATTTTAACAAACATAAACCGCGAAATAGATTTAAATTTTCTTGTATTGTGTTGACTTTCGTTTGGACATTTTTTTTTTAGTATTTTTCTGATTTTCTAACAATACACGTGTAAAATGCATTATATTGGGGTGTGCTTTATAAAAAGGAGTTATTAAAATGCGAATGAAAACTTTCACATGCGTTAGTAGTCCTCTTAAAAAAATCTGCACTATTTGCCCAAATATTTGGTTGGAATATTGATAAATTGTTGACATATGTTTGTTTTAAATAATTGCGGAATTTAATTACTCTTTTATCATTTGGTAGCAAATAGTGCAATTCTTCATTAAAAAATCTACAACTTCCTCAGAACTGAGGTACATCATACCAAAATAAAGTTTTAAATATCGACCAATCGCAGAGTTTTCCTCTTTATATTCCGGAAATAAATTATATTCTTGAATTTTCCCAAACCATGCTTGGCAGAGATGAAATTTGCAACCCAAAAGAATAAGATCTCTCCCAAAATATTTATATATTGCGTTGTGAATGCTTAATTCAAAATCTACCACAATCTTTATTGGTTTAGAATTTAAACCAAAAGCTTTACACTTATTACTTAAAAGGAAGAATACATTGTAATATGCTTCAATTGATTTATAGGGTAATAAACAAAAAACAACCGGTACATAATAACCGTTTTTAAAACTATGAATCGTAAACATTTGGTAAAAGAAATTTGTACAAAATTTGAATGTTCCGTCCATCAAAAATGTTACACAAAAATGTTAAATTTGAAAAACAGAAAAACTCATTTTTTTTACCTTATCTGCCACCATTAGAAATTCTTCCCCGCGATTTGTATTCAGATGTAACTCGAGAACAGTATTGAACACCTCTTCTTGGTTTTTAGGTAATATTGGCAAGATTTTTCTTCTTGCCGCATGCATATTTTTTCTTATTTGATTGATATCTTCTGAGTTTATGTTCTCCGCAAAATTATTTGATTGCAACTCTCGAATTATTAATTTTGCTGGTTTCTCAGATGGATCACAAGTTGCTTTTCTTTTAACACTATTGCTCACTGCATTTCTGGCAAGATTCATTGCAACACCATGATTGTGTTCTGCTTTGACCTCTATTATTACGTCTTCATTGGAAACGTACACTCTAGCTGTACATTTAGCGTTACAGCATTTCCATCGAATCTTTCGACATTTGCAAGTATTAGCTTTGGAAATCTTAAAATTATTTAACACAATTAATTTATTTCCTCTTTCACTAAACATGGTAGACGCACTGTTATTAATTTTAACCTAACTAAGGTAGATAATAAACTGTTTCATAAAACCTTTATTAAGAAACAAGTAACCTATTTCCCCTTCTAAATATTTCCCTAAATATTAAAACCGAGCAGTCGTCAAAATATTCCAAGAATTCCATCAATTTTGTGTTTGAGAAAATATATTAATATAATTACTTATTTAATTTTTGTACCTCTTCTGAAAGGTCTTTAGGTATGAAAAAATATTTATTTCCTTAATCCCTAATACGGAT